TCCACAAGATATCAATTTATATCTCTGTAGCATGGTGGAAACGGTTTTTGAAATGGGGAGCATCAAAGTTTACTGCTGCAATAAAACATGTTACACACCTACATTCCTTGTGTTGATGGTTTGGGAGGATAAGAAGTAAAAAGGACTAAGTTCCCTGTCTGATCTGGCAAAGTTAGAGTAAGGAATAGCCACAAGTGGTGAGATGCAAGGATATATATATATATATATATATATATATAGAGAGAGAGAGAGAGAGAGAGAGAAGGAAATAGGAATGCAAAGCCAGTACTAGCTATAAAATTCACAAAAGTGTAAGAAAGCCAGAAGTAGTGGTTCACACTTGTAATTCCAGTGACTTTGGAGGCTGAGGCAGGAAGATTGTAAATTGAAGACCAACCTTGGCAACCTAGCAAGGCCCTAAGGATGTAGTGAGACTCTGTCTCAAAAAAGAAAAAGAAAACAAAAAATAGGGCTGGGGATGTGGATCAGTGGTTAAGTGACCCTGGATTCAATCTCCAGTGCCCCCCCCCAAAAAAAAGTGTAATAAAGGGACTATATGGCAATAATCCCTTTACTAATATTATATATATATTTTCCTGCTAAGTATATGTGGCAACTTAACTGGGCCACTGAGTGCCCAGATATTTGATTAACATTGTTTCTGCATATTTCTTGTTGTAGTGTTTCTGGATGAGATTAACAGTAGACTAGATAAAGTATATTGCCCTCCCCAGTATAAGTGACCTTCAACTGATCTAGTAAAGAGCTGAATAGAATAAAAGGCTGAGTAATAAAGAATTCTCTTTCTCTGCTTGACAGTCAAGCTGGGAGATCAGTTTTCTCTTGCATTTGGCCTTCAGACTTGGACCGGAATTCACACCATTGGCTTTCATAGTTCTCAGGCCTGTGGACTTGGATTGAAACTATGCCATTTTTTTTTTTTCCTGGAACTGGACTTCTCAACCTCCACAATCACATGAGTCAATTCCTTATAATGAATACCTTTACCTGTCCATGTATCTCTCCATTCTTCTATCTATCTATCTACATTCTATTGGTTCTGTTTCTCTGGAGAGACCTGACTAATAGAATCCCCAAAGACAGTGTGTTCTATGCTAACCTCTGGGTTCTGCCTCTAGTTTGTGCTTATTTTCTTTAGTTTGTTACATATCTGTCTTCCCCTGTGAGCTTCTATATTGGGCACCTTCCTGTTTTGGGTGCCATGAAGTAAGTATTCTGCTAGCCTGGTGAAGCTTAAGGACCCTGATCTCAGAATCATGCTTTTGTCTGCATATTATACAATACACAGGTTTACAAAGAAACTTAATTATATTGAAATGCAGTATTAAAATATTAAAAAATAAATTGGAGCTGAGAATATGGCTCAGTATTTGCCGAGCACTTGCCTAGAATGTGTAGGGCCCTGGATTCCATTCCTAAGAGTGGAAAAAAAGAAAAAAAATTAAATTAAATTGTTCTACAATAATAGGTACTTAATTTTCATATTAAATATGAAAAATCCTCTGGCAGACTTAATAATTGCCATAATTTTGTAGTAGTGATGAACATAAATAATATTTTGAAGTATTTGTTACATCATCAATGTGATATGTTAATTTCTACGACCTCTCCTGGTGACAAAGTCAGAGATACAGTTAATACTACTGTGGTGTTCTGCCTACATTCATAACTGAATGACATGCTGAATTTCACTCAAGGCTGATAAAAATAAGGGTATAGTTTTCCTCCAATTGAATATCACAGAATCTCTGGATTCTATAGCAGAATACCCCGAGGAGTCTTCTGTTCTTTTATATCAATCTGCTCTTCTCTCAAGAGTCCAACATGGACCAGTAGAAAGCAGGTGATACAAAAGTATTTGCAGAGTTTCACTATCATGCAGATATATTGGGTCCAAATTAAGCTGCACTGAGTGGATTTAGGTTGCATTTAAACTTACAATAAAAAAGAGGAAGAGGGGTGTGGATGTGGCTCAAGCGGTAGCACGCTCGCCTGGCATGCGTGCAGCCCAGGTTCGATCCTCACACCACATACAAACAAAGATGTTGTGCCCGCCAAAAACTAAAAAAAAATAAATATTTAAAAAAATTCTTTCTCTCTCTCTCTCTCTCAAAAAAAAAAAAAAGGAAAAATCAGAGAAGGATAAAGGATAAAAAAAAAAAAGCAGAAAGTAATACTATCTGACCAAGGTGCTTAAATGTAGTGCCTCATTTCTTGTTTTGCCAGTATGTAAACCCTAATGACTATGATAAAAATTGCTGGGAACAACTTAATTTATAAATCAAATAAATCAAAAATCCTCATTTTTAATGTTACCCCCAGACTTATTATATGTATATTTCCCTTAAAACTAACTTTGTTAAATAGCAATATCTTTAGTAATAGAAGCTTTACAGTCTTTTGGGCTGGATCTTCCAGAAGTAATTCTGAGATGTACACTTGTGTACAAGTGACTTCTGAAGTACTCTCAGAGAAATCTGTAAGGGAGAAGGGGACGCAGAGGAGAGTTGCCTGTCACTTGTGGCTCTATGAGAAACTCCAGCCACCTAAAGACAACTGATTTAATCCTAAAGCCAACCTTATAAGGTAACTACCATTATTATTTCTATTTTGTCAGATGGGGAAATAGATTTATCTATGGAAGCTTCTTGTCTAAAGTAATCGAAAGATTCCATGCTGCATCTAAGATTTGAATTCTGGATGTGTGATTCAACAGCATGTACTCTAAACATCTTGCCACCCACTTTGGGATGACTTCTCAATATATGAGGCCATTAAGGGTGGCTGAGTCTGAGTCACCAAGCCTAAGCTCCTGTCTTGAGAGCTCAGACCAAAATGAGACAACATATCTAATGCAGTTATACAGGACACTCAATAAATATTAGCCACTGTTATTATTAAAGAAGGGGAAAAAACATAGCTTTAAAACACCTATTTTCTATAAAAGTGTCTCTTGGATCTATAGAAGCCTTTTTTCTGCTACTCTCAAAAGTTTGAAAAATCCAGGAAATTAGTGATGGTATTCTTGACAGCTCTGTTGTAAATGACACAATTGGCTTTATTCATTTATAGTTGGTAAGAAGACAAGGAAAAAATAAAATGGGAAAAGAGAAGAGGGAGTATAATAGATTATTTCAAAAAGTTATTGGAATGACAGTAACAAATATTCTGAATAAAATCCTATTTGTTATATTTCAATGCTTCCTGGGAGCTGGTATTAAATTATTTCTTCCTAGGGAATGATTTTTAATTTCCCTGAGAATGTCACCAATAAGTTAATACATCATCCCCCATAAACAATGTCACTTTCTGCAGTGCATTACACAATTCATTCACTTTTGCAACTAGACTACACTAATGCCAAAAATACAATTCCTGATTTCTTTACAATAATTAACTGCAGTTGAATTCTAGGCCTCGAAAAAGGACACTAATTTTAATCAAAATCTTTGGTTTCTATAAGACTGGTTGAATATCTTGGAAAAGTAGAAATGAAGTCTCTGTACTTTTAACTATGAAATAAATATCAAGTCAAGAATATTTTGATGTAATTCCAATTCTAAGGATCCTACTTGCTTCAGGCATAGTGAATATTTTTGTAACACGTGAAGATAATTTTATGACAAGTTTTATCCTCAAGTAAAATAAGTTTCATGAGCTGGGGGTGCAGCTCAGTGACAGAGTATATGTTTATCATGCTTATCATGCACAAGGCTCTGGATTCAATCCTCAGCACCAGAAAATAAAATAATAAATATAAGACTCAGATTATTATTTGGGGAGCCACCAAAGACCAAAAAAGTACACCATGCACAGTTGGCAGTTATTGAAGAGGGAATTTCTTTATATTGATTTTTTATGCATAACCTCTCTTCCGGGGTGAGGTGTAATAACCAGTACAGGCAGCAACCAATGACAATGGGTATTGCAACTAATCAAAATGATGATATGACAATTCAGAGCAGATGATGCAACCAATCAGAGTGGATGCTGGCTGACACACAGGTGAGGTCATACCTGAGAAACCAACTAAATATCAGCCCTGCCTAAAATGTATGTGAAACCCAACTGTATTCATATTGCTCAACTCCATTCACATAGAAACTTATTTCAATAAATTCAACTGACTCGGGAGTTACCATGGGAACTTTTCACTATCCAGATCCCTTTCTTCTTCTCCCAGGTGTGGGTAAAGGCAAAGTTCCAATAAGACTGACCTAAGAAAGGCATTGCAAATAAATAATAACTCATGTTTATTGAATACTCAGGTACCAAGCGTTGCATGTGTATCATCTTTCTTGATAATTACCTTTCTTCAACAATCCTGTGAGGTACTATTCTTTTTTTGGTACCAGGGATTGAATCCAGAGGCACTGAGCTACACCTCCATCCCTATTTTATATTTTATTTAGAAACAGGGTCTCACTGAGTTGCTTAGGGCCTTGCCATTGCTGAGGCTGGCTTTAAACTCATGTCCTCCTATCTCAGCCTCCCGAGCTGCTGGAATTACAGGTATGCACCACCACGCTTGACTTATTATCTTTGTTTTACTGTGAGAAAGCAAGGCATGAAGAAATTGAGTAATGTGTTTTCAGCTTTCTGTTACTATAACAAAATATCTGAAATAATTAACTTAAAAGCAGAAAAGGTTTATTTTGGCTCATGGTTTCCACCCATGGTGGCTTGGTCCAGTTGCTTTTGGCTTTGACAAGGCAATACACATAGTGGGTGCATGTGGCATAGGATGCCTATTTACCTCATGATGACCAGAAAGCAAAAGATAGTGAAGGCATCGATAAATTCCTTAAGACATATGAACTACCCAGAAGATGTTTTCTAATATTTGGTCCACTATTGGGAACCCACAACGTCCCTGACTAACATCTGTCTCCAATGCGGTCACACTTATCCTATTTCTGATTTAAATTGCTTCAAACAGGAAACAGTCAAGGAGGGAGGAAATGATAAAAGGGTCTTACCTTATTCTCTTGTCTTCCACTTTTTTCAAATATTCATCTCTCTTTAGGACTCCCAGGATCATTTCCTTCTCATGATCTAATAAGAATGACAGATTGATCAATTCCGAATTCTTAGACATGATATTTCAGTGGCAGCTGTGAGTAGGACTCACTGGTTGAATCTTCCAGAGGGTGAAATGATGTGGACGATTGCTGGGGTTCCCCCTGGCCAACTCAGAGTCACTCGGTTCAAGTTTGGTGAAAGTAGTTTTTATAAAGTCTCTGCAGAATTGCTGATGGTGGCTAGATAGTCTTCCACGATACACAGAAAACAGACTCTACTGGAATTGTGTTCCAAGAAGGTCATTATTGTTTTAACTAAAAAAAAAGAAAAATTTTCCAAAGCTTTACTGTGATGTGTAGTCAGACAGCGGCTGAATTTCACTAATGATGCTCAACTTGGGTTCTTCAGAAAGCTGCAAAGCAGGAATCAGATCCCCTGGGACAGAATGATTAAAATACTGAAAAGGTGGAAGAAACAAAAGAGAAAAATTAATTAGGCAGTTTTCCCCACAGCACTTGTAAAACGACATGATTTTTGAAATACCAATGTACCTAACACAAACAACATTTTTACAATCAGCAAACTGCATTTATTAAATACTTATTTCATGTTTTGTTTTTTAAACCACAAATGGCATTGAGTTGATTCCAGGCCCTCCATGCAAATTCAGTTTCTTCTATTATAATTGGCTTCCTCTGAGAGACAGATCCCATCATCACTCTTGCAGCTGTATTGGGTCACCACTTTGGGACACTAAATGCACATACTGGATGGTCCACAACAGGTCAGGACCCTTTAAGCAGCTCCCTCCTTTACCCGCCTGCCCAAACTAGGGCCATAGGCATAAAAAGCACAACTGGTGAAACAAGTATGAATGCATACTATGAATCAATCTAAATATATCTCACAAACAATGAATGAAAATGCTTCAGTTACAGAAGAATTCATGCAGAATGACTGCAATATGAAGGCTATATCTTGTATCTTTTATTTTATTTAATTTAGAACTACATACATTAGTAGTATAAATATAGGTAAATTCAGGGGAAATTCAAGATCCTGATTACTTTCATATAATCACAGAGGAGAACACAGGGCCTTCCCCTATACTGGGTAATGTTTTACTCATAAGAAAGGCTTTATTTCTCATGATTTATGCAGTTGTTTGTGAATTATCACAAATATGTAATATATATATATATATATATATATATATATATATATATATATATCCCCGCTCATTTGCAGTTTCAATTACCTGAAGTCAACTTCAGTCTGAAAATAAAAAAATCCCCAAAGCAAGCAATTCTGAAGTTTTAAATCGTGTGCCATTTTGAGTAGAGTGATGACATTTTGTGCCATCCCATTCTGTCCTGCCCAGGATGTGGCTTCTCCCTTTGTTCAGTGTATTCATACTGTATATACTACCTGCCCATTATTCACTTAATAGCCATCTTGTTAATCCATATTGCAGTGTTTATGTTCAAGTAATGATTATTGATAATGGCCTCACGGTGCAAAAATAGTGATACAGATGAAGCTTAAAACATATGTTTTAAGAAGGCATAAGACATAGGTCATAAAACATAGAAGGACAAATTAAATATGGTACTATGTGGTAGACAGGAAAAAAACTTAGTGTATATATGGTTCATTACTATCTTCAGTTTCAGGCATCCATTATGGATGTCTTGGGATGCTATATGGGGGCAACTACTGAACTACAAAATAGATGTTTTAAAACTACCCCCTTGTGAACATAAGAAGCTTGCCAGGCCCTGTCTCTCATCACTAACTTTTGAGCACATTTTATTGATTTGGATTCTCTCTGTACAATTCATCAATGATGATGACTCCTAGGGTGATCTGTTGGATTTTGTGATTGAACATCATCCCAACATACTATCCCTTAGTCTCTCCTCAGGTCTATGAACTACGATCTACATGCGAGTCATACATGGTTTGCTTGGCTCTTGCCAGACTTGCAGACATAGCCACTCAAAGACTGCTCTGGGGCCTTGCAATAGCCATAAGATCAGGATGACCTCAAAATCTCAGAATAACTGAAAGGACAGGTTCAAATCCAGAGCCTTCCCAAATTTCCAATCCCCTGTTTATTGTATACAGTAAGTACCAAACCAAAATGTTGTTGAAATGACTCAAAATTGAACTGTTTCCTACAGACCAAGAGGTAGCCACCTCTGAGGAAATTGCCCAAGTCGTTGCAGACTGTCTGTATTTACTCTAAATCTTTCTTCCATATCTAAAGCCTTAGAGGCATCAGGGAACAGAGGGACCCAAGATTGAAACAAACAGTAAGAAGCAAGGTTAAGAGCAAAAGGGGCACTTCAGAAAATTTAATGGTTTGGATTGTGCATCACTGTCAACTGCTGTCTCCTCACACAAAGAACACGATTGATTCTTTCCATTCTTTGTGTGTCTCTTTGATTTTATGATGACATGGAAAAAATAATTGGAAACTCAGTCAATGAATATATTATCATTACAGCCGGATTTACTTAAGAAATATTTTATATCTGAAATATCAGATTTAGAAGGTCCTACATGAGTACTCTACAGAATCATATTTTGCAATTATTCAAGGAGTGGAGAGCTATAAAAAAATGTTTGAATGATGCTAATTGTTATCCCTACCTTTGGCTGTAAAATCTAGTCTTTGTTCTAAAAATCCAAAGGACTGCCTTGTGAGGGGAATAGAGGAAGGGAAGCACATACAGATGACAGAGAAGATGGAAAGAATATAAGAAATAAAATTGTCCTCTGAGAGTTCAATTAGTTAAGCTCTGAATGTATCTGTATGAATAGGCTAATGGGTTTGTAAATGAGTGGCCTAGATCAGAAATAGCCAAAACTTTATCAAGAAAATCAGGATGTTTCCTCCAGAAGGCAGGGTTGGACTGTGATTGTAATTGAGTAAGATGGAATCTATTTAATGATAATAGAGTCCTTTAAAAGAAACATGGGATGGGGGAGAAGAGACAGTGAGCTTGGACCTAGTTAAAGAAGATCTAAGGAGCTAGATGCTGATGGTGTACATATGGACTGCAACCAGGGAAGAAATTTCCAGGTCTCTAAAGGGAAACAGCTTGTTTGTACTCTATAACACATGTTTTATGTTGGGTGATGAAACAAATCACTGTCTGACAAATCTTCATACTATTAATCACTCAAATCATACAATGAAGTCATCTTGCTCAAACTTCATTTCCTTCCAGAAACTCCTCACTGTAAGTTGGTTTTCCATAGAGTTCTCGATCCAGGAATGAATATTCTGGTCCTGCCTACAGGGAACGCTATGCTTGATTTAGTTTTTGTCCATGTCTCACCTGTTCATTGTGTGCCAACCAAATCAAATTTCTGAGCCTTTGCACTGAGAACCAGAATTTCAGAATCTGGGCTGAATGAATTTATGTAAGTATGAAGCATCTTTGTGTGTGGTGTTGGGGGTGGGGGTGGGGTTTCAGGGATTGAACCAGGAGCACTCAACCACTAAGCCACATCTCCAGCCCTATTTTGTATTTTATTTGGAGACAGGTCTCACTGAGTTGTTTAGTACCTCACTGTTGCTGAGGCTGGCTTTGAACTCGTGATCCTCCTGTCTCAGCCTTCTGGGCTGCTGGGATTACAGGCGTGCACCACCATGCCAGCTATTATGTAGCATCTTTTGATTCCTCTTTTTGGGTAGTTTATAGGTCCAGTTGAACAACCCTTTACCCACTACATACTTCAAATAAGTGAAAAACAAAATGAGTAGTTGATCCTCATTTTTTAAGTTAAATGTGCACAGTAAATACTAGTCAGATTAGGAGAGAGAAATTCATTTTATTTTATCCTTCATTTCCTTACCTAAATGGCTCTGTTTAAACATTTCACATGTGGATTCTGTCCTGTGGTCAGTAACTGCTGAAATGGGCTAAACTGTTTGGAAAGATGACATGACTTGTATGTCATTCAGCTGCCTTTGGGCATTGATAGCTTTTGTAGGTCATTAACTCTCCTGATCATCAAAAACGATGCCATAATACAAAAATTCTAACAGTGTCACACAAGGATATAAATTTTTAAAAAGCATCTATTTTGAGTAACACACTTAAAAATGATAGAGGTTGATATTTGAGTCAAAAGAAAGGGTATATCTTAAAATTTCTCTTTATTGTGTACTTGAAATTGAGTTTTAAAAACAGAATATTTATGGGTGTGCTCTTAGAATGAAATTAATAAGAATAATTTCAAAGCTGGGGATATAGCTCAATGATAGAGTGCTTGCCTACCATGCATGAGGCCCTGGGTTTTATCCCCAGTAAGGAAAAAAAAAGTTAATTTGCTTTTTGCCTATTACTGTATGACAACACAATTAGATGGATTTCCAACATTCTTAGAGGGATGTTTGGAAGAAAAGCTAAATAACATATGCACAATTCACTTGAGGGTGTCTTTCAAAAAGACAAAGCAGTCATCCTGCAGGGAAACTATAACTAGAATATCAGTACATATGACTGTCAAAAGTAGGAACTATCATAGAGATAAAGATGCTGTGGGGAGAGAAAAAAATAGTACTTTTACTATAAAAGACTCGAGGGCAGATGCTATGGAATTGCAGGCATTCTTTTTCAATAGAACAATCTCTTCTCGCTGAGCAACTCTACGGTATATTATGTGGGAGTGTAGTAACTGTGGTTTTTTTTTTTTTTTTCAAATTTTACATGGAATTGATTCTCCAAACAATAAGAAGGCCAATTAACAGTACCATAAACTTTATATTGATGTTTCAAGATCTGCATTCTCAGAAGATTCTACAATAACAGCTAATACTAACATGGCTCAACTAACCTTTATGATCCCACTTCATGAAATACTATCTCCATTATACAGATGAGAAAACTGAAGCATAGAGAAGTTAAATAACTTGTCCATAGTCAACCAGTTAGTAAGTAATTTAAAGTAGTCTGGTTTCAGGGATCTTGTTTATAACCATCATATTTTCTGCATCTTAGTGCCGTCATGGAATAAAATTAGTCTACAAGATGCTATTAAATATTTTATGGAATTTCAAAAAATTCTATAGTCTGACATTAATTCATATGAATGCTCTAATGTTCACTGTGAACTTTTACTGAATCCTTAGTTTGGAAAAAGATATTTAATATTATTAGTTTGTATCTTGGCATCAGGTATTTTGATAATTTTAAAGTGAAGACTATTTTTAGTTTTAAAATATTGGTTAGGAGAAAACCTAAATAACAAATCCAAGAGAGGAAGTTTTGAAAGAAAAATTAGAAGATGCACTTACATTTTGAGATAATTACCAAAGAGTGGAAATTTTGATGTAGCTTCAAGTTACAGCAATATGATGGAGTAATTTAGACAAGGTACATAAAACACACCTGAAGTGTAAAACATTTCAGTTATATTATTAGTTGAAAATAGGAAGATAAT